ATTTTAACGGTGTCATTGGTATGAAAAGATGATGCCGTTTTAATGCTCTGGACTTCATATTTCAACAAAGAAACTTTTATTTGTTTAAGTTTAAGATTTTTCCAAGGATTGTAAGTCACTTTAATATTGACTTCATATTTTGCATTAAGTTTAAGTTATTTTGACTTGATTTGTTTTAAATGATTTTTTTTGTCTCTTGATGTTATACCTCCCCCGTGTGGTAGGTTTTGGTAAAACCCCACTCCTGTCTTGTGATATTAGTTACTGCTCAGCCGAGCTGGGCCCAAATCCTCCTTGTTTGTCATTTGATTTATTTTACAGTGGTGTTTGATTCTTTGTCACGCTTTTTTGACCCCCGCACCAATTTTGGATGGCTTTTGTTTTTTATTTTTGGCCGTCTACAATCCCAACAGTTGCTTCACATGATTCCTGCTGTGACTAAGATGAATCAAGTGGTTACTGTCACAAACTTACCACAACTCTAAATAGAAGCAAGTGGGGCAGTTTTGTTTAAACGATAACAATGTCCAACAAATACAGGAAATCAAAATTACGAGGGGTATTTCTGGGATTTTTTTCAGTCAAAACCAATACCTCAATTTCAAAAATGATTGATTTTGGTTTGAAAATTCTGGATCCACGTGGATGCGCAAAATAAATGACAAAAAAATAAAGTTGCGGATACCTGAAACAAATCTGTTGTTTATTGAGGCTGCAAGAGAGCGAGGGAGACCAAGCCTTCAAGAATAAGACATGGAGCCACTGTGGAGTAAGTAAGCAAGGATTTACCCTCTTTAGAAAGTGGAAAGACGATGCTGAATTTATTGTTGCAAGTTCACCTATGAAGTTCTTAAAGAGGAAATGAAACTTTATAAAATCTGTAGCGAAAGGTTAAGATTGTGCAAGAACATGTAAATGGAAATCAGATTGAAAAAGTTCTACTTGTTGAATCACTCATAAACTTGTCTTTGTTCTTTTTTAAGCCAAATCTTTTTTTATTTTCAGTTTCTTCCCAAGTTGGGAAGCAGTGGGAGAAAATATAGAAAAATCAATTAATTCATTTCCTCCATCTAATTTTCAATCAACAGGTGAACATCCTCCTACTTCCCAAAGGAAGGAAAGCTCATTTTCATCCCCTCGCAGTCCGTTATATTACTAAAACGCTGACAATAGATCCATTTATTAGAAAAGAATGATCAATAATTATAACTTAGTGATCAAGAATTATTTAGTGATCAAGAATTATTTTTACATTCCTCCTTCCTCAGCGCAATGTGATTTTTTTTCAATTTAAATAAGAGTTATTTATATCTGAATGCATTACTGCAATAAAAATATGTATTAATTTGAACATTTACCACAATTATGCATAACAGCTTTCCTCAAAACAAGACGGTGTTTCTCTGGAACGTCAACCTGCAGGCCAGAGGCGAAACTATGAGTGAATGGAAAATGTAGAAATAAAGTGCAGCCTCTGCATGCTGAGAGCTCGACAGCGATACCAGAAAAACCAGGCTGGATTTAATGTGCCTGTTCATTCAGAAGATGGCAAATCTGTGTAATTAGAAGGCACTCAGTCTAAAGTTAGATGCTCTTATACATTCATTGAAGGTATTCCATTAAATATTTCTTCTAGGAACTCAGCGTTCCATCGTAGATGGCCCATTTATGAGCTATATGTGTATAAGAGATTTAAAGTGCAGCCTATTTTTACCAATTCCGAGGATGTGGGCAGATCTGCTCCTACACCAGAAGTGAACTGGGGAGAAAAAGTGGCCCAGGAGATGCGTCAGCGATCGGCAATAACATCATTTCAAGGCAAAGCGAGCTAAGTAGATACTTAGGGCCCCCAGGCCTTCAAGGGAGCCCATAAAAATAAAAAATGCTTGAATTTTCACATTTGCTTACTGAGAATTGTAACAGTTTCAGCAGAGACACGTTTAAAGATTTTAACGTCAACGTCGATTTTATCAATAGCCCATTTCCAACGGCTCCTGCTGCACAAGGTGCTTCAGAAAGCACGCGCAACTACGAATAAATGAAATACATAACAGTACAAATGTTTGAAACTTTTGAAAAAGCAAAGAGACAGATATTTGGGCTGACGTGCTGAAAGCCAGGTCATAAAAGTGAATTGTTAAAAGTAATTTCAAGTTGCTTGACATTCACGTTTCAGGTAGGTTTTGTCAGAAAACGGGCATTTATTTCAAACGGCACATGTCAAGCTGGACAGAGTCGTGCAAAGATGCTGCAGTCAACCTCTTTGTGCTCATCATTTCTTCAAATGTGAGATGTACATATAATTCATCTGCAAGTAGAATATATTGTATGATAGATTAAAGCTCCTTTAGGACTCTTCTGTTACCTTCAGCATGGGACCATAATTACGAATAAATGCAGGCTTGCCCAAATTACTGTTCAATAAATAATTACAAAGTCCCAATTTGACAAGTGTCTGCCATTACATGCAACTAAATAATATATTATTTTAGTGATTGATCAATTATTCGGTAAGACTTTTATGAGCAGTAGTTGTGAAAAAGTTATGTTTATTTCAGTTTCTTTATTAAATACATTTTTTTCGGTCAGACCGCCTCATCTTAGTTTGGGTTCTACCAAACAGCATTACGACAAAGCCCTTTTTACCACCCAGAGCTACTTAAAGCATATTTTTCAAATGCTATTATTTTCTTTCATTTACTAAGTACTGAAATATTTTCTGTTCTTATACCCACATTTTTACCCATATTATTATTATTTTGCTTGCCATCCTGACAAAGCTAGAAATGTAAAAACAGAGGAAGCGGTTTTGGGCAGAGCCTTATATATAGGAAGTTGTTATCGAACTGAGAGGATGATGCCGTTTGAGCGGTGGTGAGGTTAGCTTCAGCTCTGTGGAGTCAGCCGCGTCTTGGGTTCGTTCTCTGCCTTCTCCCTCCGCCGCACAAACGGTTCCCAAACACTCGAGGAAAAGAAATTTATAGATTCCACATTTTGTGACTCTCTGACGCAAGTCAGTTCTCATAGTCTACTGCTCTGGTCAGATTGTCCAAAATCAAACTTCCAGACCTTTCCTTGAATGTTTAGAATGACTTTAAAGTTCTCCAAACTTTCAGCAGATCTGAGGTAACGAATTCCAGACCAGATCCTTTTATCATTATGGGCTTGCAAATCTGAGTATCATCTGCAAAACAATGAACTGGGATATGCATATTTCCATAAATAGACCTGAAGGAGGATATACAATAAAAACAAAGCAAGCCCCAGAACGGAGCTTTGAGGAACTCCACATTAGATGAGCTGTGACAGCCACAAGCTTCAACCTTTGACCTTTGAGATTTAGTGGACAAACCAACACAAAGTGGTGCATAACTACAAAAGGATACTCGCCAGATGTGAGACACACTATCATGTTCAGAGTTTTTTTTTTCATATTCATACACAAGTTTATTTTCCGACCTCGTGGACTGCAGCAATGTTGTGTTATCGGAGGAAATATGGAAGAAACTTCCATATGGTAGTTTCTCTGCCGAAGTGCAGAGGCAACAGACTGTGGTGAGAACTTTGCAGCAGAAAGGTTCTCACCACATGAAACTGATTCAGAGATTATTTGACTTGGTTTGTCAGCAGTCACAGCAACAGATACAGACTGTGGAGATAGAAGAGATTATTTTGAATTTTGGAAACTGCTGTGGTTTGTGATCATTACGTCAATAGTAAAATAGGACCGAGCAGATGATTACTATCTTCTTTGAAACCTCAGCACTTAACAGCAAAAAGAAATTGATCCTGAATAGGTTTTTTTTTTTTTTTATTTAACACTATAAACCATTGATTGTCATTTGGGACTACTTTTAGGCCCAAATGACCTAAAATATTACAAATGATTGAATTTGCACACATGATGGATATGATGACATTCACACCTGTTGAACTTTTTCTTTGTTTTTATTCTGATTGCATTTCACAAGAAGAATTTCTCGGTGGCAGCCCAGGGAGAGGGGCTGCCACCTTATCGTGGTGGAGGGCTTTGAGCAACCCAGTGACCGCGGGAGCTATGCTGTCTGGGCTGGAGGTCTTCATCCTGATCATCGGATAGCGGTAGCAGAGGAACCAGGGGAACATCCTCTCCTTTTGGTTGGAATTCTTGGTCTTGGAAATTTTTAAGCAGTCTGCCTCTTTGACGTAAAACCCAGACTGGTATCGCATCACTGTCATATGGCTTGAGCCGATCGTGGTGCATCACTGTGCTGCGCTTGGGACCTTGTATTTCATACAGCACAGGACCACGGCAAGCTGAAATAATTAATGGGCCTTTCCATCATTTCTGAAGCTTAGGGCTTAACCCTTTCTTCTTTGCATCGTCTTTGATAAACACCAGGTCTCCTACACTGTAGAAGTGTTCTTTGGCCCGGAAGTCATGTTGATCTTGTGCAGGACGAATATGGACTCTTGCCAGGTTTTGTGCTTCTTTAAACTTTCTTCCAGGTTGTAGAGGAAATCTGTAGCTTCTAGTGCATCAATCTTGAGTTTTGCAGTGCCAGACTGGATGTCTTGTGGTTGGTGGACTTCCTTGCCGAGCATAAGCCTATTGGGTGTGAACCCTGTCACTGTGTGTCGTGAGCTGCGATAAGCTGCTGTGAGTAGTGGCAGATGTTCGTCCCAGTTCTTTTGGTCCTGATTCACATAACATCGAAGCATCTGCAATAAGATCCTATTATACCGTTCTACTTGTCCATTGGAGGAAGGGTGGTAAGGGGTAGTTCTGGTCTTAGTGATCTGCATGAGCTTACATACATTCTGAAACAGGGAGCTATCAACATTACGACCTTGATCTGTGTGTAGCTCAAGTGGAGCTCCAAACCTGGCAATGAATTCGTAGACGAGCTTCCTTGTAGTAGTTTCGGTGTAACTCACATAAAGTGGGGATAGACCTTTAAGGAGTAGAGATTGAGTAGGTGGGGTGGTCTGCCTGGCCAATGGGAAGTTCAATCAGACACCACAAACCATTGATTGTCACTTGGGACAACTTTTAGGCCCAAATGACCTAATCAGAGAGCGGAATGCCACAGAGGCTCCACCTTCTTTCCCGTGTTGGCAGCGTTGATTGTGTGCTGGAGATCCAACCCTGATGAGACAGCTGAGACAGAGTGAGAATCTTTTGATATGTTTTTAATGTTGTTTATTGACTTTGAAGAAACTTTTCTTTTCCTTTTTTTTGTTTATAGTCCAACTTCTAAGCTAGAAAGAGTTGTAAGCTTCAGAAAAACTGAACTTCAAGGAAAAACTTCAGTTTTTCTGCTGTTAGAGCCGTTAAGATCAGTTGGAACTGTTAGCTCTTCTGGCAGTTGGTTGGCAGTTGTTCTCCGTTCAACTGAAGGTAAAGCCTAAATAATCATCTATTTTTATTTTATTCAGTTCATATTGTTGAAGTTAAAACTTGAAAAATATGCCTTTTACACTGTCTAGTGTAAACTATATAATTGTTCTGGACGTGCTGCACTGAGATCAGTGAGCATATTTTGTGCTTTTCATTTGGTTTTTGTTCTTTTCATCTTGTTGTCGAATAATAGTCTTTATTTGAACTACTTAGTTATTCAAACCTTTGCTGAGTTTGGGTAAAATGCAATGTTTTATTATTGTGCTTGGAAAAGGATTTTATGAAGGACTTCTAATAAAGTCCTTCCTCTTTATTCGTTGTCGAGAACCCGTCCGCCATTTCAATTTAATTTTCCATATTCACATTTCAAAGCTCAGCGGTTTTAGATGATGGCAGACGAATCACGTTTTCTGGCGGGTCTGGCAGGCATCAGGTATCGCACTCTCTTCCAGAAGCGCGAGTTCCACTTGGAGGCTGTCCGAGAGCCCTTCGACCACCTGATGGGGGCGCTCTGACGGATCAGGTGCTGCAGGCCTGGAGGAAGGCGCCCGTAACCTCCTGGGCCCATCTCTCCGAGCTGAATCAGAATCACACTCATGTCCCTCTGCACCAGCGCGTGGTGAAGCCCGACCTGGAGTTCACCGGTTCAGAAAAACAAAAATATTTTATAATTCTCTAAGACGTGCTTGAGCCATGACTAGACAGCAGTTCATAAAAGCAAGAAGAGACCATGGTTGTTGCAGACAACTTCACCTCAAAGGCGGCTGTTGGTATGACACACTATTTATCATGCTTATATCTTTTTCTTTGGAACGTTACATCAGTTTTGGCATTTGCACAACAGTTAGTGCAAATTTTACAGCGCCCGGTTAAGTCCCTGAACTTCACATTTTAACGGAAACAAAAAAAAAAGCTCAATGATGTAACGAATATTACAACATTACAGATACTTACTGTAAAATGTAGTGGAGTAAAAGTCGAAAGTATCCATTATTAAATCTACTTAAAGAACAAATACATGAAAATTGTACTTAAGTACAGTGACGAAGTACTTATACTCCGTTACTTCCCAACACTGCGTTTAATTCTCTGATCAGAGAAATACATCGAAGCACCAGGAAAAAACTGTAATGTGAAAATATGGAGTTGCAATGTGACTTGCTGCCTTGCCGTTAGCATTTCAAACACCCAGATTTAATTAAAACAAGAAGAATACGAACTGGATTAGTCCCTCTGTCCCCTTTAGCCCCCAGACTCTTTTACCTGCCAGTCAAATCCAATCACTGAGGTTTGGTCTGAGGTGGGATTTTCCATCATCTCTGGTCCTGATCCTGGTGTCAGGATGACCATCAGCCTCCTGCTCTGCTCGATGCAGCTCTCAACCTGCTCCACACGATCTGATGGATCACAAAAATACTTATTAGTTCAAGTGCATTTCATCCACTGATGCACAGTAATCGCATCTCTTGTTTCTCTGTACTTTCAAAAGTATTCACACCCCTTGAACTTGTTCGACGTCTTTCAGCCGCAGACAGACACTCTTTAACATCACTGACCTTCCCCGGGTATGTCGTCTCTTCCCTGGATGAAGAGTTGATATCCACACTTGTCTTCAAGCACAGAGGGCAGAGTCTTTGTGACAAAGTCGGACAGTTTGTCTTCCGTCTCCTTGTCTAAGCTCTGTGTCTGATAAACAACGTAGGCATCGTACATCTTCATGTCTGGGTCACACAAACAACAAGATGTTTAAGATTCCCATTCAGCAGGCCGTGACTTGTTCTGATAACTTAAATGAAATGTTTACCTCTCCTTTAACGCAACACACAGTAAACCCAGTTCCTCAGCCTCTCACACTCTAAACTCAAAGTTTGCCTTTTTCTTGCTCTGTTGAATCTGTGCGCTGCTCCACTACATGCTAATTTTCACTCATGTTGGATTTTAGCCCTCAGCTATCGTGTCTGATGAGAGACTGATTACAGATCATGATTTGGATGTGGTCCCATTAAACTTCTTGTTTATTTTGTTGTTTTTTTCTCATCCCCATTTTTTTTTCCATTTCAGACCAATTGTTGAAGATAAATGGGGAGATTCTGAGGCAAACCTCTGATTGTTTGTTGCTCACTCACCAGACATGAGTTGTGAAACTCCCCAGTTGGAACCATTTTGAGGTGGTCGTCTTCCTTTCGTATTCCACTCAGTTTGTTTACATTTCTATCCAGCTTGATAATGTTAATTTTTGTGTTTCTTTCTTAGATGGTATTGATGAAGAAATACCTTTAAAACATTATCGTCTTTGGGTTTTCCTTGACCATCGTAATCAACTTCATCTGAGGTGAGTAACATTTTGGGTCCGGTGGTTGAAACGTGCAGACGAGCCAAGCAATACGAATTAAGTTTGCATTTTCGGGCAAATGTGTCACATATTCAAACTTGAGCACTACATTTTTGTTTCTCAAATTTGTTCAGATTGTTGTGTCATCACTCCATCCCAAAGAAGAATGGCTCAAATTAACCACGAAACACCCAATACGAATGTGATATTAACAGAACGTCTTAGCACAATTATATAAAAAGCAGTTATTTAGCATTGTTCATTTTTGTGACTGGTCAAAATACTTGTATGTGACTTAATTTCAGCTTATTTATTTGGAGCCTTTTGCTCCAATTGATAGAAATCTCCAGGATCAATGTTTTGAAAAACTAAAACTCTGTCGTACCTTCACTGCGTCTTCCTGGAAGGAAATAGGGCCTGAACAACAGAGCGAGGTCGATGGCAAAATACTTCACCAGCACAGCGGCGAGCGCAGCAATCAGCAACACACACATCCATGAAATGATGAGGGGGATGATGGACTCTGGAAGACAAGCGCAAATATGTTTCAACAAGATTCACAACAAACCCAACGAAGACCAAGTGTTGATTAAACCAAATGCTCCAAGAGACATCAGAATACCAACGTTTAGGCCAAGCACTGGGTTAGGAAAATCAGAAAAAATTATTGAAACATTTGTCTATTTAAGTGGTCTTCTAATAAATGTAATGCATGAGTGTGACGGGCAAAATGCAAAAGCGTCAATGCAACAGCAAAAGGTTACAGAAGTCATGCTAAACGCTAAAGTATGCTAAAATAGAAGCTAACTAAATCAGAAACTATGATGCACTTTACTTGCATGACTTTCGTTAACATTGCTTCGGTTGCAGCTTTTTCTTGTTGGTTTGTGCCTTTTCCTGTTGTGTTGCTGCTTTTTGCGTTCTGTTGACCCTCTGTGGCCACCGTAGTAGAGCAGTGAAGTGACAAGAGATCCAAAGGATCAGAATGAAAGAGAATCACACAGAAACCGAGGAAGCAGTCTAATTAAGACAGAAGCTTAACTGAGACTAAAGTGATCTAAAACAAACCTGGGAAAAAATCTAAAGAAAATAACATAAAGAAAACTGAAGACAAAAATAAACTAAAATAGAGAAATGAACTAATCTGGTGACATCTAGAGAAATTGGCAGATTTTGACAAGAACGTTGAAAGATGAATAAAGAAAAACCAGCCATGGATAAGACAGAATGCTGATTATTGGTTCTACATGAATTATTTTTATATCTGATTTAGGCTTTTTGTTTAGTTTTGTTTTGGTTTTTTTTTTTTTTTGCAACATTAGCATAATATCTCCAGTGACATTAAAGACTATAAGCTCCTGTAACTCATATCTCATACCAGAAGTTGAAAAGTTTAGGGCAACATGAGAAGGAAGGTGTGGTGACACTAACCTCTTTGCTTCAGAGTCAGAGTTGAAGAGTTCGTCTTATAAAAGTTTGAGCCCTGACATTTAAACTTATACTGGAAATCTTCTGCTGAAACCCTGAAGATGGTCAGGATCGCTGTGCAGAAGGTTCTCTTTGAAGCATCCTCTATCTCTCTGAGAAGTAAAATGTTTCATTAAAAGTTATATAAATGTGTATTAATGCTTACTGAGCATTGACTTAATTACTAGGAAATCAATTTATGCCAATTTTCTTAATGGATATTTAACTTTCCTCCATTTTTCTAATACATTATCATAAAATACTCTACTGGCATACTGGTTCCCCCTCAGGACAATTTTAAAATTCAGAATTATAATCTAAAGCATTTGACTAAATCGTTATGCCACAAAACTGCTACAAGACCAACTTAAACGTCAATTTTCTGAATGGACATTTTAAATAACTTCATTCAACTTTTCTAATAGATTATTACTAAATACTCCATTAGGAAATCGGACGGCGTCGGGTGGAAAAAGTTCAAATTCAGAATTATAATCTAAATTTACCTCAGAATAGTTAACATAATGTTCAGACTTACAACTTGGTGGTTTCGTTGTATCCGTCCTTCTGCTTTGCTGGTTTTCCATTGATCAACCAGGTGGCCTCACACTCCCGTTCTGCATTGATCCCACAGTAAACAGTGCAGTTCAGCTTCATGCTGGAACCTGTTGAACACATGATGGTTTGTTACATTGAAATATAGTTTCCATTCACTGTGTTTCATAGCAATGTTTCACTTCTACTGAAACTTGAATCAGTGAAAACTTCTGAGTTTGACTTTATTGAACATTGTGTAATAAAAGAATAAACAAACTTACAGTGTAGAAATTATAGTAATCTGACTCTTTGTATAAAATGTGTCCATAGTTTCAGATGAAAAAAGGTTAAAGGTAACATATTATTTTATGAAACCTATTTATTCAATAAAATATTCACAGCTAGACTAAAACTAATGTTGTGTGGAATAAACAGTATCAGATGCCATTAAAAGTTACATGTTTTTGGTGCCAACAAAATTGTATTTGGTTATTTATTTTTGTTTTGTAATTTATGCTAATCTGTGTTACTGAACAGATAAAGATTACTTGAACATGGCAGCATAAAATAAACGTCTGTTAACAACACAAGAAAAGAGTAAATATTTTTTATAGCCCCATTATGGTGGAAAGCATCTCGGACCAGAACTCACCAGCAGTCGGGACGCAAACTTTAAGTCTTTCTAGCGTTTTAAGCCGTTTTCTTACCTTCATCAGCAAACAGCTCCTTGCTGGTGGGAGAGACAATTGTTGCATTTGGAAAGATGGATAATTCTGTAAGGAAGCAGAGTTGAAAAGTTTTCACTGTGTTGTGTTTTCTTGTTAGGAAAAAAAGCTACATACAAACTGAAACCAACTAAAGTGAAAATCTGATATCAGTTTGATGAAACAAATGTGACAAAGAAGCAAAAACTGAATAAATCAGAGAAGGAGCAAACACTTTTTCATTTGGCTTTATATTTATTAATGCAAAACACATTCCTGCCTTCATCTGAATACCCAACCATCTAAAAGGACTCACTTAAAGCAAAAAGTCTCCTGGAACCAGAAGAATTGTACACCATGTGGTTGTGAGTCCAGGTACATAAGCAGGTGTAGATGTCCTCATCATCTTTTGTTGCATCATTTATCCACAGGTTTTTTTTGTGTTCACCAGGAATGAGATTCTTGCCCTGCAATAAAAATGAGAAAAACGTCAGAAGGGATGGAAAAAAATGTAATCTTTTAACGTATCGGAAACTAACCACTCTTATGATGTTTCCACACTACGATAAATACTCACTAGGTACACATCTCTTGCAAACAGAAAACAAAATCCACTAAAAAATATCTTCACATGCTTTACAATAGTTCTGCAGGGATGCCACTAGAGCATAGCTGCATATGCTGATACAGCTGTAAGTGTTGTTGTCATCAGAGATTCCCTCACCTTGAACCAGGTGAATTTCCCATTAAATGTTTTGCATGTGTCTTTAACAGGCTGCGGACAAGGAATGTTTATGTTCTGCGCAGAGTTTTGGATTGAGCCATAGGTCATATTCTCTCGACTTGCTTCATTGAAGACCTCGATCTTCAGGTGATAGTAGAAACATTCACCTGATGGCTCAATGTGCCTGTGGAGAAAGAAACGTTCACAGATGAGCTGATCTCAAAGGCCAATGAACAATTTTAAATTAACTGTTTATAAACAATTTATGCTAGTTTGTGCACTGATTTGAAGTCATGAAAATAAGTGTTGATGATGACTGTCGATCATAAAACTGAAATGGAAACAGCAGACTAGATCGTCAGCACGTTTGGCTCTAGTTCCACTTTTTGTATTTCAACAGTACAGTTTGTCTAATAGCGCCCTCTGGTGACCAGGGATATGGGATATGTTGTACCAGTTCATTCTAAATAAGACCCAGTTCCAAGTGAATTTCATCATTTAAACGAACACCAAATTTGGCTGCTTAAAACCATCTCTGGTTGTTTAAAACACAGACTAAAATGACATGGAAGCAAGAAGAGCCCCGCCCGTCACTTCACAGTGCTCTCAACAGCTGGTAAGTCAGGGGCAGTGTGTCAACTAAGCCAATGACTTGCAGACCAGCTACAGGAGCAGACTGTCTTGCTAACCTCACCAACCATCAGCTATCAGATTGTGGACTAACAATGTTATGCTGTTTAACAGCATGATAGCAAAATGGTTAAAAATGTTGCTTTTTGGTCTACACAATGTTATTGTCACTAATAACACAATCTCTGGAAATCCCCTCATATGTGGGAAGTTCCTGTACTAAAACCATCACTTCCTGCCTTGTGGAAGAGGGAAAACTCATTTTCTTCCGCAGAGAGACTAGGTGCAATGTCTCTCTGCTGATGTTGCTGTGGTTGCTGAAGCATTATCTGTGTGTATGACAAATTGAGCAGTTTTGAAATGTCCAGTAATAAGTGAGTAATAACAGTGATGTACTGTGTGACCATTGTAAGCGGTACTTTAAAAATCTTAACAATGGAGGACTTGTACGAAGTGAAAATAGAAAGACATTTATCTATGTTCTTGGCTTGTTGTTCGGACTGCCACATCGCAGTCAAACAGAACCAACAGCGTCGTCAGAAGCACACCTGCAGGTGAAAAACTAGCTTTGTCTGTTTTCTGACCTGTTTGTCTTCCACACAATTTGTGTCGCTGATCATTTCTCCCTTGTTGATGCACTTAAGTCAGTTAAATGTGTTGCAGAGAAAAGGTTTTGCTTTTCTCTGCAAATCTGTGTTACTGGACAGATAAAGATAAATATTGAACTAAGAAAGTTCAATATTGTGGTCTCAAATAAAGACCAACTCAGGGATTGTTGATCAAAGACGGCTGCATCCGCAACCTTGATAAAGGACGTCAAACTCTTCATTATGTTGGTGATGAACAAGGCAGAATAACAGATTAGTTATTTTTACTGACTCACAGGAAGTGCAGCTATTGTTGTTGAGCTCATCATTTCTCAGTTCTTTAGATAAATGTAATCTTGCCACCGATCACACACGGTTGGTGTGTAGGTGTGCAGAAAAATATGCACTCAGAAAGAATACAGAAACATTTTTTATGTTATTGAGTATCAATATCTTACTGTAAATCTTCAGTTTTAGAACCTGTGAATTTTGGTTTTGTCACTCACTCTGTAGTCAGTTCATTCCTTTGCTTCCATATTCATAGTGTTTGCTCAAATGTTGTTTTATGATTGTTTAGTCATCCCTGTGTTTCTCTGTTGTCATTTTGTTCAGACGTTTCCTCTGGATTTCTTTTTTAGTATTTTACATCATTTGTCGTTTTGTCAGTGTTTTACCTATGCTGGCCCTGCAGGCGTTACTTGTCAGTCTACATCAGCTGCCCCAGATTATATTCCTAAACCACTGCAACGAATCAGCTTATTGGACTCACCTGATCAGACAGATTCAACTGTAGGTATTTGACATTATTTGTAATGTCAAATATGAATTGACTTTTTTGTTCTGTTGATGAAACTATTAAAATACATAAACAAGAGCAGCTGTTTTGGGAAGTAAGCCACCATAAAGATGCTTTAAATAAAAGGACAAGAGTAGAAACCAAAGGATTATCCATATTTGTGTGATTTGTGAATGATTTCAAGACTTGTATAGTCTCAGAAACTTTATTTCAGACAAATTATGATCAAGAAATAAAATCTAGTACAAGTTAGAGCTGTTCAAAATAGGTTGGCGATGAACTATGGAAGCATGTCAGTTCTTTCTGATTAGGTTCTTTTTGAACGAAGGTAAAAACGAGGTTAATAAGGGCGATACTTCAAACACATGATCGGGGTTCAGGGTTGACATAATCCATTAATTTCCTCATATTTAAATCAATGTAACATTCATTTTTTGACATATCACCACATGAGACCAAGCAGCAGTGTCACAGCAGCTCCAGAGCTCAACATAAACAAATGTTTTTACCTGGCAGTATAATAACCAGCGTCGTTAGCGCTGATGTTTAAGAAAAACAGCGCTCCTCCATGGTAATGGATCCTGTGTGTCTCGTCTGTGGTGATGTTCATGACCTCTGGGCCGTTTTTGTACCACGTAATGTTTTCATCGGGCAGGTTGGGGTCGCCCATGTCGCGGGGCACATAATAAAAAGCTTCACCTTTAATGACTTTATATTTATCCTGGGGAAGGCAGGAAGAATCTGATGCTTCTGAAAATGAGGATAAAGACGATACTTAAAACAAGAAAGGTCAATGTTTCATGGAAATATACGACATTTAATTTGACCTTTTTGCAAAGCTTTTTGTGGAGTTTATCTATTAAAATATGTCGTCTTTTACTTTTTTAAATTTAATTAAGTATTTTGGGGAGTAACCAGATTTCCCAGAATGTTTTTCTCTATCATTTGTCATTAAAGTCAGTTAAAACAAACTTTCCTTTAAATTTGCCCTCTGGTCTGCATGTTTACATGATGAACTGTGTCTCTCATCATAAACTCTGCAGTCACATAAATGATCATATTTCTTACGTCCTGCATCCCAGTCTGGCCTCATGAGTCTGACTACCTCTAAATGATGAAAACGAATAACGTTTCTCTTTTCTTTCGTCGATGCTCTTTGTGCACACACTACCTGGTCTCCCCTCAGACGCTGACATCATCATGACGACGGACAGGAGAAGCTTGAAGACGTCCATTAGCTGAAAGAGACAAAGTTCTTTCTCAAACTGTTCACACACTCATTTGCATTTCTTTAAATTCCTGTCTGAAGAAATTCAATCGTATTTTTCTCCACCTCACAGGTGGATTTGTTAGACAGCAGGGGCTCTGGAAAGTTCCTCAGAAAGCCGTCTCTGCAGACGATTACAATCTGTGCAGTTACAAAATCATTTTCTGAAGAACGTTATCAGAAATCATGTTTCATAACTAAAAAAAAAATCATCCTGTTTTTTTTTTTTTGTTCTTTACAGCTACAAATACAATAAACCAGAAACTGTTGTCAATAAAAACCCGGACATTTTTATGAGCTTTCACTGCAGTGCTACCACAGAAAACAGCAGTGTGAATTCACAGGTCTTAGATTGTGCAGGCTGATTCTCATACTGTCATATTTCAATTTCCCCTGGATTTGACTGACAGCAGTTCAAATTTACAGCAGCTATTTTGAAAAAGGGACAGGGTGATGTAACTTTATACCACTGAATGAGTTTCTGCTCATTTCCTTTGTGAGTGGGTTGAGTCAAATGTGGTTTCACCGTTACGGCTGAATGATCGCTCTGCATGATCACTGTATTTCAAACTGTTTTTCATTTGAACTTCCCATTCTCAATAATCACATACAGCCACACGACTATAATTTGGATCCACACACAGGTGACCTCTACACTTATCAAGACGCCGCTCGTTGCTGCGGTTCTCCAATGGTGAGATTTGGGGATTTTTGTGACCTTTGGGCTGACGAGGTGATCTCGAGATACAGTCTTGCTTGTCACACTTTCAGATGTTCACTGCTTAGCATGAAACCATTTCCTTGCATCCATTTCCTGAGTCATGAAGATCAACAACCGTCTTTCCTGCTGAAAAGAATCCCGAACGGCCTGCACTCATACGCAGCGAAAATATTGCGATGAATAACTAGTGTTGGACCAAAAGCATCACGGTGACTTTCCCTCTCAACACTAAACTAACTGTCACACACAAAAAGATGCCTTGTCACGGTTACAGAATAGTGCGGCGTTTGTTTTCAACACAAGCCACAATGTTTCTGTGAGTTGATGTTGCTGCTCGGCCATTGCCAGAAACACCAGGTCAGAGATCTGACCAAGACTTAATGCCATGTCTTCAACATGGCGTTCAATTGCTCTGAAACATTTTGATGTTTTGTCACACAGATTATGTCCCTGAGATCATCAACACAGGCAGTGATTGCAAGCCGTCAACTCGTGTCAAAATGCCATTTGGAGAGAATTGAAATTACCCACCATTGATCTATGAACATCTTCTAATGCTCAAGTTTTACTGATGCTCTTGTGTCAAGATGTTTTGTTTTGGTTTTCTTAGCATGTGAAAACACATTCTAATAATTCAGGTTTTATGTTAGCGTTCACGATTAGTTATCCAAAGAATTACTCACTCTTTGAAAACACCAAACAATGGCTGACGTATCACTTTCTGAGGAAGGCTCTCAAGAACATAAAGTTATGAACAAAGTCACGTAGTTTAAAGACTGAGATGAAAACATTTCGAGTAAATTTCACGACAACTAAGAAGAAAATTTTTTTCAAATGTTTTTCTTTTTCAATATAAAACTTGTGAAACTAGTAAAAATGGCAGGTCAAAAATTGACATCAGAACAATGATGCTTGTGTAAAATAAATTTCACTTTAACATAAACTTTAGGTGTGTTTATGTACAGAGAGCCATTTCAGCCAAACTGGAAGGCAAGGAAAATAGGAAAATGAGAAAAGGCCAGGCAGAAATAAATCCTGGAATAAATAAGTGTATAAATATAAATGGGAATAAAGGTGCCGATTACTAATCATTTTATTTATTTTACACATTTATTTATTTTCCCTGCGTATTTATTTATTTATTTAATTTTGGCTGAATAGGCTCTCCATATTTTTGTGTCTGGTGCATTTTTTGGGGGGAGGTGGTTAAAATGTGTCCAGTGTGTCTCACATCGGTTGATGTTTCCAGAAATTTTACTCAAAAGAAGCAATGCAGTACGATCATGTGACTCAAGTCAAATGAAAAACTACGGTGATACTTAGAGGTTGTTTTTTTTTCCGCAAACAGTAACCGATTAAATGTAACTAGTACTCGCCTTTCTTGAAATAAGCGAGTATCTTTAGACAAAAGTTTTATTTGCATCTAGAGTCTATTAGTTACTAAATCTACTTGAGTACTATTTTTTAAAAAATTACTTTTAGGATCAAAATATGCTTTTTACTTTTACTAGAGTGATTCAACCATGAAGTTTAGCCGATCTTACTACAGTGATATTTCTGGATTCTCAAGCCGCAGAATGAAAACCTAAACGAAAAATAATAATTCACCAGACACAGATGCACACCTGCAGTTTTTGTTAAAGAAATTTATTTTGTTGTTGTTTTTTTTAAGAATTTTTACTGAAAGAAACTGATTTGGAGACGTCAATTATTTGTCTAATTTTGTCATTTTTCATTCTTACTCAAGAATTGTCACTTTGATCCTTCAAATACCAAAAATTTCCACTTGACTTCAGATTTTGCTCAGTCTGATGACGTCATTGCTAAATATTAATGACAATCATCACTTACTCAAGAGTATGCTTCTTTTTTTTTGTAACCAGGTAACTGTTTTCCTCTAAAACATGTCGAAGTGATGCTTCTCCTCCTGGAGGGCAGTTAGCTGGTTCTCTACCCACCTGTTTGCCCCTCAGTCGTCACAATAGACAGACTTTTACGACAGAGTCAAAGTCCAAATGACATGAAGAGGAAACCAAACGCGATAAAAGAATAAAAAGTACAATAAAAAAGAAACTCCTAGCCATTGAGGAGGGAGTCTTACCAGCGGCTCCAGAGCGCAGGTGAGTCGTATTTTGTTCGCCAAACTCACTGATTAAATGAAGAGTCTGATGAGTCCAGCGGCGCGCGAAGTTTCTGCTTACCTCGAGCGCGCAGGTTGAATGGCTTCTAAGAAAAAGTTTGCCGCTAGCATGAGCTCTCTCTCATCTTTTCCATCGACCCTCCCCTACTGCTCGAAAAAAAAAAAAAAAAAACAGCAACGAAGAAACTGAAATTAGTGAAGCTTATGCGCGCGCGCGCCGCCGCAGCTCCCTCCCTCCCTGCGGGGAGCCAGAGGAAGAGGAGCAGGAGGTCAGACACACCTGCTGCCTTCACCTCTTTGAGGAAGAGGCTCTTCTCGGTTCTCTGCTCTTTACGGAGCGCCGTCCTGCCTCAGGTGATTCTACTGGGCTTGTTTTCCTTTCCTGGATGTGAATTAATGAATCTATTTGAATCTGAATAGGCAATGTGCTAAAAGAAAAGAACAAAAACAACAAAACAAGTGCCTTTAACTACACTCTGAAAAGTTAATCTATGAACTTTTTTTACATTATTCTAACTTAATTCATTTGGTTGATGTGTTTTATTAAATAAAAATAAAGAAATCTAACTAACTTAAATTGACTCAAAGAGTGTTTTTGCTGCACAGTGGTACAGTGGGTAGCACCGCTGCCTTGCAGCAAGAAGGTCATGGGTTCGATTCCCGGCCCGGGAGTCTTTCTGTTTGTTTCCATTCAGATGGAGGATGCTTCAATCTGTTCATGCTTTTAAGTGTTTTTGTGTGATTTATCTTTATGGGCATGCAAATCTGAATGAGATGGGAGATTAATACGCTTTCAGCAAACCGACATGTAAAACACAACACAAGATTTTATGAGCTCTGTGCTGCGTCTCGCCTTATTTATTCAATATTCCTCAAAGTGGAGTGTGAATGCGTAGAGAAAAGCTTTATCTGTTCGGAGGGAGTTGCGTCACTTCCTTCTGGTTGCTTCAGCGCAGAAAATAAGACAGAAACCAGATTTTCTGATTAGACTAAACTGAATCCGTGGGTTTGGGTGACAAAAAATAAAATAAAATAAATGAAGAAATCAATCAAGGTCAAGCCGTCAGTTTTCCACTGGTGCTGACATTTGGTTTAGAGTGCCCTGATTTCGTTGAACCTTGATTCCAGAATTTAACATTTTGCTTGAATGGGCCTTCAAATCAGAGAGACAAATTGTGGACAGAGTTAAAGATAGGTCGAACGCAAAAAAAGGTGTCTTTCAAGGGGTGTGAGTGGTGCAACACCGAAAAAACAAACAACAAAAGAGATGCCTCCATTCAGACGCTTTGTGTCGACTCACATCATCCGTTAAGGTTTGAGCAAAGCAGAGCTTTGCTTGTAATAAATAAATAAGTAAAAAGTCCTTCACTCATAACCTTGACAAGCAAAGTGGGTCTCATCATTTCTCTCCACTGGTGGAGGCGACGCCTTTTTGACGTTCGACTAAAACATTTCTTCTGGAAATGCAGATCGTCCTCCAAATGCTTGATGTGTTTTCACTTCATTTGCGTTCTGTCGTTGCTATTTGCGTCTCAGTGAAACTAAGATCTTGGGCCAGATGTGGCTGATGCCAAAAACCAGTCACTGATGCCATTAATTAATCGGGCGGCAACGGTAGCTAAGAACTCGGTGGAAGTAAATGAGGGAAGCGTCGCTTTGAAGAGCATCTCTATTCGACCTTTGACCCGAGTGCTTTTTGTTGGCAGAGTTCGTCAGCGTGCCAGCGAAAGCCAGTCCACTGAGTGGATTGTTGCAAACCACGGCTCGGCGAGAGTCCGCTCCTTCCGTTAGTGCAACTCTGTTCCAAAAATAACAAAATTCTGCTAAAGCAAGAGTTTGCGGTGACTTTTCTGTTAAAGAGTCTTCGGAAAAAAACGCCCGGCTTCACTGAAACAATATTCCTCGTTCAGATCACGATGAGTAAACTCCTCCTTTTGGGAGAGAACTGGTGCTTTCCTCAGTGATTCAGTTTCCTTCCAGACGACCGCATCATGAAAACTGGCTGCTGCAAACTGGTTGCAGGTGGGATCGTCTTAGACGGAGCGGTCGGCTCAGGAGAGGGCTTTTAATCCGCCTGGCAAAGACGGGGATTACCGTCGCGTTTCGGGGCATTCGAGCATCTTCTCGCACTTTGCCACGCCGCGGTCGCGGCTTTGATTTTGTCTTCAGCTGCAAGTGGAAACAGTCCACTCAGGAATTATCCAGAAAAATAAAATCCCCTAGTAATGTTTGGAAAGAGAGGAAAAAAAGAGAGTAAAGAACGGTGAAGTCAGACAAATAGATGACGTAGGTTTAAAAAAGAAAGAGAAAACAGAGGCTCTTTAAAGTCACCCACAGTGATGCTTAACTCTTACATTACAAAACTGAACTTACATTCAAAGACACAGATATTACATCCATCAAACCCACCAGTGGTTTGAATGTTTTTTCATTTAAAGTCAAATATCGGTAATAATACTGACGCGAAGGAGTCTTTTAATCTGTCGTCATGAAGTGTCATTCGGTAAACATCGACACTTTTAATGCAGAGTTGCTCGAAAAGTTGCATTGGAAGTCCATGGAAAGCCCCAACTTTTGCATTAAAGTCAATATTTACGACATAATGAGCTCAGTCCAGTTGAAAGTGTGATGAAGGCTGCCTGGACAAAATCACTTTGGAAAATAGTGTTCCACATGTTTCCCGCATCAGCAAAAAGAAACAAAACAAAAAACAATGCAGCCAACAATCAGCCAAAGTTTTCTCGCAAAACTTTTTCTTCTCATTGTGTAGAATATTGTAATTAACCCACATCAGCTTAATGTTAAAAAGATAGGTGAAATATCATTACTTTTAGTCCCACATTTTTTTATTATTGCTATTATTATTTCTGTTACTTGAAAAGAGATCAGATTTGTTTTCAAAGTTGTGCAAGTTGTGTGTAATGTGGACAACTTGGTGCAATCCGTTGACAACAAAAAATGTCTGAAAACCCTCCAATGTAGCTGAAATAAAAAAAAAAAACTGCAAAGAAGAGTGGGTCAGATTCCCCTCGTATTGATGTTAAGACTCATTGTTCGCTATCAGAAATGGCACTTATCACCACCACTTTAGTGCTTGGTTCGAACTGCTATTTTTCATAAAAAAAATAGAATGGATCTTTTAAAATGCGTCAACAATTAAGCGTAACAGAAAGCTGCCTAAAAACTGTACAGTAGCTGGTAGTTTGACTCGGCTCGGCTCAGAAAACGTCTTTTACTTTATGAAAGCATACGTTGTTTGACATAAATAATCCATGCGACGACAACAACGTCTCAAACGTTTAGTCCCCGCGCGTGGACGGCTTCTGGAGACCGGAGATTCCGATGGATGCCATCTTTAAACCCTCCGGGTAAATGGAAGCCCGTCCGCCGCTTCAAGCGATGCTCTGCAACCTTCGCGCAGGCGCAGCCGGCATGCGGCAGCGCAGGCTCTTCCAAAAGTTTCTCCTCAAGTAAATCTGAGTCAGTTTGTCGGTTTCGGCAAACGAGTTTTTCCACTCCAGAGCTCCTTGTGTCCGTTTGACGTAGCGCAGCGACTCCGGCAGCTGACTGTAATCCACCGGACCGTCTGGGAGGAGAGAACAGAGAGGCGTGAGAGCTGGCGTGTTCAAATGTTTCATGCACCTTTAAAAATGCTTCCCTTTTCCTTTTGGTTTAGATTTGACCTCCAACTAGGAAGGTTTGGGAAAAATTCATGCTGACTCGGTACAATCTGCATGAAGAAGCTCAGAACTCTCTGAAAACATGAAGCGTGTGTTGTCAGTCGCTTCATTCGTTATCACAGCACCTCAACACAGGAACTAGAGATGCTCGGTATCAGGCACTAAGAGAAGTTATCTGACTCTCAAGCTGAGAGATAAAGCAGCAGTTTCTTAATTTGAGAACATTTTGGCCTTATGAAGTTTGCTGAAAGAGATTTGCGTCCGTTTGAGCCTGCGCTCTCAGGCTCAAATCACTTGCAAAGACTAGCTAAGTAGCACTGAGCTGTTGCAAATCTGCAACATCTGCCTGGAGAGGGTTAAAAGACCAGGTAAGACATGACTCCCAGTTAATCTGCTAAAAGCACCGACAATGAAATCTTTACTGATCACTAATGTAATGATAAGCCAGTGATTTAACAGAAAATGCTCCTTCTTTGTTTTCCGATGTGAACGGTTATTGACAGCGCTTAGACCCTCCTCCTGGCTCTGACTGGTTGGTTTTGGTGCATTTCTTCAGATAGTTTGAATTACTGTCTGATGCTCAGGAAGGAGGTGAAGATGGAGGTTTTCACAGATCATCAGTCTCCTGTCCGACTGACACAACATAGTGACAGTTTTACCAAAAATGTAAAAACAAACAAACATATTTTTAATAACTGTTACATGCTGCAGATTTATCGTTCACAAAAGTCAGCCGAGAAGACTCTTGGCCCTTACCGACTTCCACCAGAATAACTTTGGGATCATTTCGCATCAAAGCGTCATGAAGGCCAACTTTCTGCTCATACGCCAGCTGGTTGTGATTCTCCTTCAGTTTACCAGCAGACGACAAGATGATAAGCAGTCGGCGGCACTGGCGCACCGCAGCACAGACGGCGTCGTGGACAGCTGAAAGACATGAAAGACGAGAAGCGTGACTAAGCGGTTACACACGGCGAACGGAAAACCGTTCGTGTGCCCTCCTGCCGCAGTTTTGTGGCTGCGATCGCACAAAACGGGAGATTTTGGACGAGGCTGCACTTTTAAAACGAAGCATCCTGCTGAATTACATCTGTGATATTTTCGTAGCTCCTGACCTTCTCCGGGGCGGTCGTCCCGTCCTCTGATGTACAGGGAGTAGCCGTGTTTCTGCTCCAGCTCTTCTGGAAGGAGCCGCAGGGCAAAGTGGGCCACGCCGTCCAAACTCGGCATGGCCGACTGACCGACGCTCACGTAGGCGTCGTAAAGTTTCCCATCCGGAGCTGTTGGAACAGCGAGAGGGGTAGGGATTAGTCCAACAGTGAGAGAAGATGGCTACATGTCTTTTTAAACACTGTATGTAAAAAACTTGGATGATACAAGAAGAAGAGCTCACCTTGTTTAGAAAACAATGTTTTAAGTGCCCTGTATGCTAAGAAGAGGTTGACTTTACAGATGAGGAAGAAGGCCGTCAGGATCAGGATGGTAAAGAGGGCAGAGAGCCAGAGAGACACAATCATGTAGAACCTGTTGTGTTCAGTTGGGTCAGCTGAGGAAACGAGGCAGACAAACACAAATGGTTACTCAGTGGGAAGCATGTAAACAAGCGTCAACGTGTCTTCTGGTTGGACCGGACACGGAGCGATCCCTTTGCGTAACCGAGACGCTTGGAGCAAAATACCTTCCTGGAGCCGGACCTCCCCGACCTTCGCTTCAGCCGGGCTTGAGATGTGACAATTGATGGGGATGTTCAGGAACTCGTTTCGGACTACAGCAATGGACAGAGTGGACTGACCGAATACTTTGCCTCTTTCGTGGATACTAGAAAAGACATTTAAAACAAAAATCAGTCATTTAAAAATTTGAACCGTAACAGACGCCGACTACAGAGCTGTTTCTTAAACTGCCGCGTACAGGAGCACACTCAAAGCATGTTTTGTGCAGCAAGTTTTGTCTTTTCTGTGTGTAGTTTTTATTCACCCCTGGTGTGTATATTGTGTTTATTTGGGAATGCAAAAGGTCACATTGGATATATTTTCAGGAGGCAGAGAGACTCACAATTCCCAGGACTCAACAAGCCCGCTGATGTCACTCGCGTACGTCCCGTCAATGGTCCAGAACATGACGATCTCTTCGTCCTCACTGAAGCCGGTGTAGGCCTTACAGTGCAGCTCTGCTCTCTTACCTGTCGGGGAAAGTGGCAAACAAACCAAGCAAGAGATGAATGACAAATCTGCTCTCCCACCAACTCACGGAAGCCAAGACTCAACGAAACAAGGGACACACGGAACAAAGACCAATAAAAACAATAGAGACAGAAAGCAGAATGCATTGGGGTCACTGTTGTTTGTTTACTTACCCACTTCAACTATGACCACCTCGTTTTTGGGCCTCACAACATGAATCTCTGGAAAGAGGTCCAGAGTATCTACAACCACATACATTTGAAAATGAAATCAGGGAACAGAGAAAAAGAAATGAAAAAAAAAAAAGAGGACAACACTATATATTAAAATACATATCTATACATATCAGGATTTGGTGAAAACATGAGGGAGTTGCGATATTACCGAAGCAAATCAAAAACTGGAAATGCTACAAGAGCTGCTGGGATTTGTGCCAACCCTTTGCGGGTCCTACATGGAACAATGGCCGCCTCTGTCTGTGTCAGCAGTCCGTTTCTCCGGAGTCAGGTGACATGTCTGAAATCGTCTCGTCCTTAGGAGAAACCCAAACTGGAACTGTGTGTCTGGCCCAAAATCAGCCTCAAAATGAACGCTGAAGAAACACGGCGGCTCCTTCCTTTTCTTTGGAGCCAGAGTTTATGTTGACATGGCGGAAATTAACCAGCCCCAAACACTAGTTAGTTACTTTGGCCGTTTGATTTTGATACCAAAGTGTTGGCTCACGTTAATAAAGCAATGGATTGTTGCTAAGCAAAATTCCTGTTTTGAAGGCCTTCAGGTCTCAGTCTGAAGGATCATCTGTGGGGTCATTTGGGAACAAAAATCTGTTCTGAGTCTAATCAATTTGAAGAATCTATTAGGTGTCGTCAAGTCAAAATGTGGGGTACAAATAGATCTTTTACAAAATAAGATTGAATTCTGAAATTCATTTAAAAAAAAAAAGCTATTTTTATATCACAAAGATCCTTCATTTTAACTGGCGTGTGTCCAAATTTGAGATGTACCGTTTTTGACAGTCAATTGGACGCTGCGTGCTGCAGTGTAATTCCAGCCGTCGACGGTGACGTCTACGTGGCACGTGTATTTTCCTGCATCTGCCCCCGAAACCTTCGCCAGCGTCATGAGGCCGTTTGCGCTCAGATAGACGGACTCTCTATCCGGCTGCACCTGCTGACAGTCCTGTGTGCAGACAAGCAAAATGCATCCTATTCTCTTTTTTGTTTCTTTTCTGGGAGGATGATGAAACATTCAATCATTTCTTTGATCCTTTTACTGTTTGACGACTCATCCAGGAGGTTCAAAAAGAAACCTCCTGAATCATCTACCTGATTCTGCCCATTCAGGTAAGTATTTCTGACAGCAATACTTACCATAACTGAGGCAAATGAGAAAGAGACCGGGAAGAAACATGAGACGTGTTAGTTACGCCCTCTGGCAAGCTGCTCTTACTGGAAGAGTGGCAGGACGAAGGCTATTAATGACCTGAAGAAGTTCTGTTTTCAGACTGCTGCGAGCCATGAAGGGAACATGGCAAATATCTTATGGGGAATTATGACAAAAAGAGATAAATAATAAATACGACTACTAAAGACTTGAGAGAGGATCACCCTGCATCAAGATAAAAAGCCCTAATCGTTGCTAAATATTGGAGACACTTGTAAATTTTGTGGCTAACATAACATAGCAGTTATGTTAGGTTTACTACATAACTGTACTGCTTGTTCAGGCAGATGCATTGTACGAGGTACGTCAACAGGGGGCAGTGTTGCACTGGTTAAGTCAGAACCCATCAGTCATGATGGGGAGGGAAAAAAAGCCACAAATCACAGCTGTGACCGTTTTATAACAGGAGAACTAGTAACATGACAAATAATAAATAAAAACCTTCGTCCATCGTATTTTCCTCGGGAGGTTCAGTCTGAAGACCTCGGTCTGTTTGCACTGAAGACCTTCACTTGTTTCCTCTGTCGCCAAAATCTCCTCGCTTGGATCCGGGCAGCTCGACCCGGACACCAGAACTCTGAACCGTCTTTTTGATGGTTTCGTTTTATTCCTACAGAAAAAAATACACAAGAATGTGGGTGACAAAAAAACACTCCAGAGAAAAGCTTGATACAGTCAGCAGACAGTCCAGGACAAACTTATTAGCGGGGTGTTCGTCTGACCTGTTTTCACAGACGTAGCTTCCGCTGTGCGTCTCCTGCACGGGCAGAAACCACAGCGTCCCGCCTCTGACCTCCACCCCGCCGGGGAGCCGCTCGCCGCCCCGCGCCCCTCTGCTCCACTCCACCTCGGAGTGAACACCGGCAATCTGGCAACTCAGCAGAAACAAGTGGCCAGCGCTCACGTGGTAGGTGTCTGCCTCCCTCTGGTGGTCTGGATGAGGCAGTGCACAAAAAAAAAAAAGAAGAAAGAAACAAGTCTTAGGTCACCGAGGACTGCCTGAATAAAATAATAATAATAATAATAATAATAATAATAATAATAATAATAATAATAATAAGAATAATAATAATAATAATAATAAATGATTTATTTATTGCAAATATGACATCAACTGCAGCCCAAAACACTTTATATATATATATATATATATATATATATATATATATATATATATATATATATATATATATATATATATATATATATATATATATATATATATATATATATATATACACAATGAAGATGTCACTGGACACTTTAACAACACATGCAGAGAGCCTCCAGGTACAGGTTTAAGTGTAAACCTGCCAAAAAATGTCTGTGTGCTTTAACGCAAAATGTCATGTTTCCAAAATGGATGAACAATTGCCAAATGACATACAGAGGAAAAACAAACACGTACTATTATCCATGGCCACTTTTCTATGGGGAACTTTATTGTTTTTGCTGCCCAGGAATGATAGCAAAGAAATGCCAGAATGTCCAAACCTGACAAACGCATAAGGAACAAAAGCAAAAACAACAAAAAAGCACATCTTGTCAAACGTGTACAAAAAAGAAAGAGAAAAGGACCAAACAACCCACAAGACACGCAGATGACCCATATTAAAGAAGAAATTGCGCAACAAGTCACTGAATGATGTAAAAGTGTTTTTTTTTTAGGTTTTTTTTACCATCGACGTTTGGGTTTTATGCTTACTGTGAATCTCTTCTGGAAGTTGCAGAATCACAGAGCCTGACTAGTGACCAAAACAAACACTAAAAAACTACAATCAGACAAAAGCAATTTGAATCCTACATTTATCCGATACGTTGAACTTTAAGTCTAACTGTCATTGTTTAAAATGAGACCCGGGGAAATATGTTTTTAATGCAACATGCATCCTGAAATGCAGCTGCCAAATGCAGGAGAAAATGTGAGAAACAAGCAGACTTTGATGATCTGCCGTGCACTCTCCAGCTAACATGATCTCGTTTGAGCAGCTGCTCCTCTACGCCACGCAATACACTGAAAGTGCTTTCAAAGTGACACATTAATCCACCTGACAGCACACTGGTTGACTAAGAGTGCAAGAGAGTGAGCTGGAATCGAACTCACAACTTTCTCCTCATGCCACTAAGCCACAATCGCCTCCGACCTTGTGGTTAGATTGATGGTTTATTTGTGTGTTCAATCGTTAATAGTAATGTGTAACACCCGAGTCTCTCCAATTACGTGTTAACACCTCTAAGTTCATTTTGTTTGCACACACCTACACATGCCCTCATGTGCACCTTAAACTTCTGATATGACTGATTGTAACCTTTCTATTGCATGCCGTGATTTTTTTTTATAGAAGATTTAAAACAATAAATCTAAAATGATTTCTTTGTGCAATTTTGACTCTGTAAATCATCAGTAAACCGCACAAGGTGCTGCCAAAATCCCCTCTCTTTGTATAATAAAGGCTGTTTGCTTCGCTCGTGTTTCTCCCCTTGATTGGACAACTCTGTACATGACCTGCTCTCGAAACAAGAAAGAAAAAACCCTTTTATAACAGCGACAACATGTTGTACTGCAGCAACCGACTGCTGACATCAAACAGACGTCGCGTATAAAGAGTGTGCATTACTCAGACATAATCATAATATTTATATGAACTGATAATGTCACGTTCTGTTGAAGTTGACCTCTTTGCAGAGAGGCAGACGTCGAGTGGATGCTGCAGGTTTCAGTCGTAAAGTGATGATTGAACAAAACTTGCAAGCAGCCAGATGAGCCGCAAGCAGAAAGAAAACAGGAAGCGGGAAAACGAGGCGCAAATCAGAGGAATTTAAAGGAAGAATCCAGCAAGGAGTGACTGAGAATGATTCTCGAATAAATATAAAAACAGGTTGCAGGTGTAAGAGGAGAAAGAGAAAAAGTGGCACAGGGGCTGAGGGAGAGCCCACAAACTGGGTCATCAGGAAAATGAATGGAATCACATAAAAAAAAAGAAATGAAGAACATAGAAAAACTAAAGCAACTAAAGGACTGAGCTAAGGCAAATCAGAAGCTGATCTAGAATAACTAAACATGAAAACATAGTTAAACTGGAGTAACTAAGAAAGGTGGGCAGCAAAGGATCCGATGAAAGAATAGAAACTAAATAAAACTGAAATAATGAACAAACCCAAAACCAAGTCAGACCCTCACGAATGATTTCTTAAATTGTCCTGCAATCCCGTCCTCTTTTATGAAAGCAAGTCAAACATGTTTTATTCTGGATTTTTTATTTTATCTTGTTTGTTTTTCTTACATTACGTTACTGTCTAATAATGTCTACCAGCTGAGTGATTGCTTGTCTTAATTAGTCACGTTGTAAATTAGAAATCATATGTAATGAACATAGTGCGTCATAGCTGTCCACTTATTCTTTGCATTTTGCTCAAACTCATGAACTTCCATCGTTGTATTATTTCTTTTTCTGTTTGTTATGTGTTGGATTATATTGTTACGATTATTATTTTTCCTTGACTAGGAAATGTTTCTTCATTTTCACCATTTTTGGCTGTGACCTACAGCGAGCTCTGCTCACCTGACAGTCTTAGTCAGAACCGTTTGTTTGTTTGGGAAAATGTTGTTTTTTGTTGTTGGTTTTTGCACAACTTATGCAAAACTGCCTTTTGTCACAGCGCCGTCTTCCTGTGTGAACAATTTCCACTTTTTCTTGCTGGTCTGACGTCTTTCGTGCTTCCTGTAGAGCTCCAGGAGCTCCATTCTGAAGTCTGCGCCTCGTTTGCTCATCGGGGGAGGCAGCATGAGAGAACCGGTTGATTCGGTGAGGATTTTGATTTACGATGAGTTCAAGACAGAGAGAAAAGGAGAAGTCACTTGAAGGCGGGTGGAATATTCGCACCACGGTTTATGAGTGAAGCCTCAATGTGCTTTAGATGCGGGAAAGCGTCGTTTCTGATGGACTGAGAGTTCGGCTGCAGGTGCAACACTTGTGTGGGTGGGTGTGGGGCCAAGTGATGCAAGAAGCGATATTACACCAGTGGAAGTTACACAAAGAAAACGATGTGGCTTTAACACCTCACAAAAGAACGCAATCTGCCTTTTTAAAAAAAAAAAAAAAAAAGCTCAGGGATTTAATCTGTAGCAGTCGCTTCCTGAATGTCACCTCGCTGGTCCGCAGCTCCTCAACAAACACAACAAAACACCCACATCCTCAACACAGGCTGTATAACCCACTGCATAAGAAACATGAGCCTATCACAAATATCACCGTTGATCTAGTTAGACGGGTTGATGTATCGATTTGTTTTGAAGCATCTGTCGTGACTGAAAAATTACCAAGTTAGGGTTTGAACGGCTTTACGATTGCCCTAGGATACGGATGTTTCTAACTCCAAGAAAAGGGGTTAAAAATGTTTTTTTTTGTTTGTTTTATTTTAAGAGCTACAGCAAAGGTCTTCATATAGCCCATTATGTGTTTTAATTAAATTCAAATCTGAGATCATCCAGCTAACGTCTAAACAACCACTTGGACGTAAAATTCTGAACTCGAGGTGGTAAAACTGATCTCTGAGTTCAGGGTCACTTTCCATCAAGGTGGGGCAATAAAGAAAAAAAAAAAAAAAGGTGGTCCACCTCAAGCCATCCCTCCCTCCCAATTTGACCATATCAAGAACCCACCAATGTTCAACACATTTTGTTTTGTTTCGTGTGCATCTCCTCCGAAACACCGCAGCAATGTCAGAAACTTGTCGAAAACCTCAAAGAAATGTGCAGTGGGGATCTTTTATTGCAACTTGATATACTACAGTATATTGTTGCACACACTTCATTTTTCGCATGAAAGTGTCCCACAATATTTAACTGAAAAACAAGCCGGATGGAAAAAAAGAAGAAGATAAATGAACAAAGCGCAACAACTTGTTAGCTAATCTGCACACCAATAAATCACACACTTCAATAAAGACTCGTCGAGTTTCGGCTTTGGTTTTTGCACTCTGGTCACGCCACGACTGTCATTTTCCTCTTGTGAGATGAGACTTTTGTTGACCTTTGTCTTGATCTCACAGCATGTCTTTACAACTGAATCGCTCCCCTGGCAGAAGCCTGAAGGCTTTCCAGTTGAAACACCTTTCTGAAGTGCGTTTTTTTTTATTTTTTATATTCCATGTGCAGAGAAAACGAACTGTAAGCGAACGGATCATCATCGGAGAGTAGTAGGAGAAGGTAGCAGAGTGACAAAACGTGCTCAACAAGTCCTGCAGCGGCCCGAGCCTTTAGCAGCTTAGCTCCAGAGACAAATCAGGATGAAGTATAGTCTCGAGCCTTGTCTGAAGAGCACGGACGGAAACATCGAGCTGTTTACATTGCGGAGGAATCAGATAAATCTAATTCCGCTTTTTGAAAGTCCTAGGACAACCTGCAGTCTAAAAGTGATGGGCTCCGCCATCAGAATCGACTTCATCTGCCAAATCTGTGCACACAAACAAATAATTAGACTTTGGCTCCACTTTACTCTGAATGTTCACGTCTAGTGGGAAATAAAAAAATATTATTTGAATATCCACTGGAGGAGCAAACGTGTTAATATCTAACCAGGGCTGATGATTCTCGGCGCTCCACAAAGAGATGGAAAAAAAAAAGAAACATATTTTGTTCTCTTCAAAAGCGTGAAAGTCGGGGGTAAAAGTTCATTTGTTTGAAACTACATTTTTCTGATGAACTCACTTGCTGAAGATCCGATTATTGAAATCATATGAAAAATGTAAATTGATGAAGAGATTTGTGAATGGCCTGTTTGACTGGCTCAGAGGAAACCACAGATGTTGCTTTTCTCACATGATGCCTTTCTGTCTTCTTAAGACTCTTCATGATTAAAACTTGTACTGCTGGTTTATTATTCAGCAAACAAAGCCATCTTCAAGACTTTAAATCTTTTGACATTTAGCTCTTTGTAAATGTCTCTGAAAGAAAAAAAAATGTTTATTTTTGTTTGTTTTTCAACCTCTACTGAAACTGAAATCAGTTGGATTTCACAGAGTCAGCAAGTTCTTTGACCCAAACAACTGCGTTACATTTTGCCACGTCTCAGCTCCACGGAGACAGAGCCTGGCTCTACAAGTCACCCCTGCGTCAAAAGCCGCCGATCCCCCCCGCCCGTGTGGTGATCAGCACTCACCGTGACCCACAGCCCAAGCCAGAGACAGGAGTCCAGTCAGGAAGCGGATCCAGCCTCCGGGTGTCATGGTCCTCGCCTGCGGGATCTTAACGGGTCAGATTCCTTAAACCCCTGGTCGTCTCCTCTGACGGGGTTCATTTTCTGAGCCGAGCTGTCGCTCCACTCTGCAATTGGACGGCGCTTCTTAACACATTTCCTGGCAAAGTCATTCAAACACCCGACCGCTGCTGTTAGGGAAGTGAGAGATCGCACGAGGAAGTCAGAGCTGAAGCACGCCCGGTGAAAAATAACAAAAGTCCAAGGAAGTTCCACGCGCTGGCTTATTTATTTGGAAAAGTTATTTTTAAAAAAAAAGGAAAAAAAACCTGTCATTCAAAAAACATTACCGAATTCGAATGAGCAGCAGAATGTGAAAGAAGTTCCACTTTTAAGTCCTAACTTACCAATTTATGTGTAGACAAACTTCTGGTTGCTTGCCCCGGCGCTCATCTCTGGGTTTGTTGGGTTTTCCGTCCTGCTGCATCTGGTGTTTCGTCTCATAACCCCTACTTGAAATTTCCACTCAGCTTTGGAAAAAAAAAAAAAAAAGCACCATGTACTCTGCAGTACAGGTGATGCGCAATGATTCACTGAGAGCCAAACAGGGTTTTGGTTGTGTGCAAATTTAAATGTAGGTCACTTGACCTCAGAAAGTTCACATGAATTTTGAGAAAGTGCACGTCATGACAAATGAGAATTGATGAACCAGTAGGTTCACAAGGAAAGTCGACTCTCAAACGTCTGATTTGTCGGTCTGAACATGAGCTCTTTGAACCGCCTCGTTTTTTGATGTACAATCTAATTGTCTTTATCTGTCAGTGAATCACAGATAAAAAAGCATCTTGGTAAGTCGTCTCCTATACACATTTTTGCTACATTGAGAAAATGCTTACTTCCTTCACATAGGCACAACCTCTTCCTGTCTTCCCTTTGTACTCATCCTCCTCGCTACTTTCAAAATAGTCTTCAGCTTTACTTTCTGCTCTTCCATCATCCTCTTTCCTCTTTTTTGTCTTGCTTTGCAAGAAAGTGAACAGACCAAACACACATGAAATCGACATGGGATCCATCGAACCTGATTTTGGCCCTGCATAGAATGAAAAAGCTACTTCATGGAAGTGTCATGAAAGATCTGGTTCAGTCTGATTTGCTTCAGCTGTTACTTGCTAATGCTCATATAGTAAAATGCTTCATTGCCAAATCCTCATTGGCTGCTTCCACTGAGGAAGACCTGGTGCCAAGGTCACCAAGGCTCCTGGTTGAAGGAGATCCACCTGGAGTTCCTTTAGGCCTTGGATGCTATGGGTTGTTGGTTGATACAGCTCTGTAATATTGCGTGAACAATGGCTGCGGTTCTCTTGGATTGGAAGACCCGGGTAGGATCCCCCTCATCCAACTGCAGAGGGTCACAGGGTCGGTCAGACAGTGGAAGCTCAGATTCAAGAGGAGCTTTTCTGTACCAGCTCCACACCCTCAGCAGGTTTCTGGGAGTTCACTCAACCAGTCTCCATGTGCCTTGTGGACTTGCGGAAGATGTTTGACCGTGTTTGTCTGGGAATCCCGTGGAGGATTCTCTGGGAGTATGGGGTACCAGGCCCTTTGATACAGGATGTTAGGTCCCAGTACGATCAGTGTCAAAACTTTGGACTGCTTTGCTGGTAGTAAGTCGGGCTAATTTCCGGTAAGAGCCAGACTTGGTCTAGGTTGTCTTTTGTCTCTGATTTTGCTCATAACCTTTTCGGTCAAACTTTCTAGGCACAGCCGTGGTTTTGAGGGGACCTGGTTTGGTGTCTCTGATATTTACAGGTCATGAGATTGTGATCTGTAGCTTTTGCTGGAGCAGTTTGAAGCTGATTGAGGAGGCTGGGACGAGGATCAGCACCTCCAAACCTGAGACGATGGTTTTGTTCCGGGATCAGGGACGGGGTCTGCTGTCCCATGTCCCTCCGCTGGCCTGGGAACGTCTTGGGAAGCCTCCCCACGAAAGGAGCAAAGCTGGCTTTGATCAATATATCCATAAACAGGTTGATAATTCATTTTTGATAAACCTCTTTTATTTCAAAGCTTAAAACCATGTATAACACCAATAAATATAAAATGTTACATGGAAAATTATGTTTATGCTGGAAATGTTTTTTTATGAACATTTCCAGTGATCAAAAACAGCAGGAACAAAAAGCTTCCATATCCTTTATGTGACCATAGAAACATGGAAAATATGTACAAATACTTTAATAACTTTCACAATTCACATTTACATTTTTCTTTCTTTCCACAAACACTTAGAGAACAACAACAAATGCTGGACAGCTGGCTGGTTTTACAGCTTCTTCACGTTTCTTTGACTTCATTACATGTCAAACAGTTTTGGACTCGACTAAAGCGAAGTATTCTTCTAACACTACAAAAGAACAAAGAAAAATGTTTGGGTTTTTTTTTCAACTTTTTATTGTACCAATTCACTCAAATATTTACATCTAACATCATAAGTTCAACAAGGCAGTTTTCTCTGGATAAACTGCCCTCTTGCCTCTAACTGGCATATGATACCTAATTTCTTTCCAAAACCTGGAGGAAGGAGAGAGGGACGGAGACACTTGTGAGTCCTTTCCCTCGTTCTCTCCTCGTCCTCTGTTTTTGCCTCGTTTGAAGAGCCTTCCACCAGCACACGGCGCCCTGTTTCTTCCTCAGGTGGCGAACCGACTCGGGGAAGACGGCCAGCTGGGCCGGGGTGATCTCCTCTAGTTCCACAGAATGACCTGAGAGGACAGAACTCCATTAGAGCCTCTTTGTTGAGGACACTGGGAGACTTCGGTATGAGTAGGAGTTGCTTGTTGGCTGAATTGTGACTTTCTGTGGCTACATTATAAGATCACCTTTAAGGAGCCCTCCAGCAGCGCTCTGTTCAGGGATGCCACACATTCCAGATGCTGCCTTGTGTCCGAAAACGTTTTGTCGTCACCACCAAAACCCAGGCTGCTGTCGCCCTCACTGGTCCTACTTTGGATTTGGTCGACCTCCTCGCCAGTCTTGGTGATGTTGTTGTTGTTGCTGCCGGTGCCGCTCGTGTGCCTCTCTTTGATGAAAGTGGAAGCGGTGTAGAGCAGGAGAACACGACGACTCGCCTGGAGGTTCTCATCCACAGAGTCCACGATGGCTGCAGGAAGACAGAAAGCACAGAGAGGGATGAAAAACCGTGAGGGGAAAGTGTAGAGCAGGATATTCATGTCAACCATTCCTCTATGTAGCACCAGCTGTATTTTTGGCATCAATGTACTGCCGTGCGTCGAATCCATGTCCTAGTCTAACATTTACTTTAATACTGCCTTTTATTTAGCCCTATCCAAAGACAACGCCATTATGTTTCACTGTAGACCAAAGAGTTTAAATTTGGCCTCTTCTGACCTCCTGACCTTCATTCTTCAACACAACATAATGTTTGTTTAGGACCCAAAATTCAAACATGAAAGAGGCAGGTGCTTCCATTTTATACTATACACAAGCTTTTTCCCCATGGCAGACTCACCTTGCCCCGGCAGGCCGTCACGGCCCGCTATGAACAGTTTGTAGCCACAGGCCTGTTCCAACACTTCAGGCAGCGTCTGCAGGGCGAACTTCTCCACTGCGTCGCTGAACCCGGAGGCGCCAGGATTGGGGTACGCCACATAGGCATCGTACAGCTTCCCATCGAGATCTAAAAGCAAAAAGTTCTCATTAGACGTACAACAAGGTCGCCGTCTGAGCGCAGACAACACGAAGGTCACTTCCATATTTGTTTACAGAAAACAATAAACCAGGTAGACAACCAGCTAGACAACCAGCTAGCAATAGTTAAAAAAATAAAGCATCATGAATCCAGTTTGAGTGAAGACCGTCTCGTGGATGTTTTGCCGTGAGTCATTTTTGCATCCAGGAGTTTTTCAGGTCGGACGTGATTTGCATAGCGCTGACGTTGTGTCAGTGAAAGAAGCCCCTGCGGGACCTTTGAATGAGAGGCGGGTGACATTTTATCTGAAACAGAGCAGGCAGGCCCTGTGGTTTGTGTGCTTCCTCCGTCTCTCGCACTGTATGAAGATGTGGTGAAATGCGAGATAAAACTTTGAGATTCTGCAACTTTGGAATGATGTGTGGGTAAACCGTATGCTGCAGCTACTATATCGGTTATTTTTATATATTTTTTTAAGATTGGTTGGTCGGGTGTTTCCATTTTATTCCAATTTGCGATGGCTTTTCAAGCGCCTATCGTCCACAGCACATTCTAGCTCTGCCTCTGATGTAAAGGGTCACCTTTGTTTGTATAAAGGACTGGAAATGCCCTCCTGAAGCTCAGCACAATGTCTATCCCAAAGAAGTGGTAGATGGTGACGATGATGATGAAGAGAACAATCACTCCACCAAACACTAATCCGATGGGAAGGATGATGTTCGGATCTGTGGGAACAAGAAATGACAGAGAAAAATTAATTTACAGTGGGAATATTTAGTTTTAGACAGATTTTTCTTATAAATGCTCCTCCGAATCAAACTCAATTAAAAGCTACAAAACAAAAATTGTCCACCATTTTAGTCCATCAATTTTTTTTTAAGCAGCAATCTTTTGATTCTACGTCATCATTGCCTCCAAGGCTGAGGAATCGAGCTGGATAAAGTTTTATCATAACGAGCTTCAATAGTGCAAAGCCATTTCTAACTTGAGACACCAGAACAGGAAGTCAGAGCTAAAGAAGGGGAAGTCCATTGGGGACACAAAGGTGACTTGAATTAACGTTAACGTCAACGTTTTGGTTTTTTCTGTCAGCGTTTTTGTCATGCTGAAAACTTGAGAGGACATAAGTCTCAGGTCACAACAACGAGGCCGTCGGAACGACATGGTTATGACCCATAATTGTGAAAATGAGGGTGATATCGTGGTTGGAACATAAGGTGATCATTTCGACAGATCTCTTTCTGTCACAGATGAACTTCTAAACGTTGTTAGCGGCGCTAACGTCTGTCCATCCATCGTTCGCCGCTTGTCCAGGGATAAATATAAACAGGGGATTTTCTTCTATTGTGTATTTGTAATCCAGTCAGTGGAGAGCAGGCGTTTGTCTATCTGCTGATTCAGACACCTGAAGGGCTTTTTCTCTGCTCCGATGTGTCTGGGTTGTCTGTCTCTGGTCCAAAATCTAAAACACCTCACATCTGGTCAAATCCAAATCTCAAACGGAGCAAGCGCTCAAGATTTACCTGCTGGCAGTAAAGTGAAACATCCCTTGTCTTTGCCTTTGACAGTGGTGACCATGCAGGTGTAGTTGAGGTAGAAATCCTCCTCCCTCACTTCTGAGAAGAGAAGCAGCCGTTCAAACCACATGCCCTTTGGTTCGGCTTGGGTCCACGATCTGTTGAAGGTGAAATAGTCGAGAGCGTGCACTTTAGCAGCTCGCGTCATTTTTCCACCAGCAGAAGTTGATTTAAATGTACCAACCTGCGG